ATCTGGAATATGGCAATACGACAGCAGAACTCTAACATTGGAAGAAACTTCTGTCTGCTCTGATCTCTTGCGATGCGATGGATGTTGGTCATCCGACTCCAAGGAGCACAGTGCGGCGCCGTAAAGATGACTTTAGGCTTCTGTTTCTCGATGCTCTCCTCGTCCTCTTACGACCGTCACTGGTCAAGATATCAAAACCTGTTCGGAGGTCAATAGGTTGTCCAACACGCAACCCGTTCATGGCAGCTACTTGACTCAACCGTGCTGAACCTGCGAACAACTCTAGAAATCAATCTTGCCAGTCATGACAGTGTTGCCATGCATAAGAAGAATATGTAAAGCCTTCCACACCGATCTGGGCTCCGTCGCTCTGGACTAAAGAGCTTGCATGGTCAATGACCGGAATATCGGTCCGTGCACTCTCAGAACTCAGTAGTGCAACCGGGTCGAGTGGCGCCTCAACATCTTCAATCGGGTTGATGTCCTTTCGGACCTTACTGATGTTGACCTTTAGAATTCTGGTGCCTAAGTCTATACCAACCATACTGCCGTCAGAACTGATAACCTTGCCCTTGATCCATTTACCGCTATGGGTTCCATCGGATTTTACCTTGGATTTGTCTTCTGCCCAATAGTAGATCTTATCACCAGGATAGAATGGACCATCACTCAGTTGAAGTCTTGCTGAAATGTCTCGTCTCAAATCATCTGATTGTTTTGCTTCTAAGTAAGACTTCATGGCAAGTGTTCTGAGGGCATCAATATTCTTTTCAGGAGAAGGAAGTGAAGCTGTAAGCTGTTCGGGTGTCATGTTCTCTGGATACAAAAGGTCTGCAGGTCGTCTTCCAAATGCCATCTCCGGTGGAGATACTCCACCAAAAGTTACCATAGAGTTCCTGGCAAGTGATGCTTGTCTGCGGAGTTGACGGTACGTGATCTCGTATCTGGATGGATCCTCAGTCACGGCCTTAAGCATCAGGGCGATCTGCTTTTTGTACATGCGAACAGCTGCTTCAGCTCTATTTGGCCATGGAGTACCAGGTCCTAAAGTAATTGGTCGGATGTTCTTCCTGTTGTAAAAGGCTTCAAGTTCAGTACCCATGAAACCTTGATCACCGACAAGATACTTAGGATCCAACTGATATGTTTCAAAGTATTCCAGAAGATGGCCAATGGTTTCTGCTTCAGTCTTGCCGTTACAAACGTAAGCAGTGGTCATAAAAGTTGCACCATCATAGATGATCAGGAAAAGAAGTTTAGACTTGTCATTGATAGCTAGTTCGCCATGATCAATGAAGGCGAGTTCACCGAACGTTTCGCTTCTCATACCTGAAATTCTTGACCTTGAAGGTGCAATTTTTGACTTCTGACATGTGTCGCACTGCTTGACTACTTTTTCATACTCTTCATGGATCTTAGCAGGAATCTTCAAAGCTGATGTGCGTTTCTTGAACTGCTCAGTTGACATGTGATAGTGTTTCAAGTGCAGTTTCAAGAGTTCAGTTGGATGAGACAGCTTTTCATGAATTCTCTGCAAAGCTAACGGCAATGTCATTGAAACCTTTGGTGCCTTCTTCTCTCTGTGAACTGTTGTTGGTATTGGTTTCACGTCTTCCCTTGTTTCTTCCTTTGTTTCTTCCTGAGGATCTGACTTCACCGGCATATCTGGTGCTGCTGGAGGTACGTCTGGCTTCTGTGCTCCTGAGCTCGAACTTGGAATCTTCGAATGCTCAAATGGCGTACCAAAATCAGGTGACTTTTCTGTCTTCCAGTATGTCGGAGGTGTCACCGTCTTAGCCGGTGGAGGCATCGAAATAAGCTTCGATTCGATGGCGGATCGACCTTAGCATCTCCACTTGCGACTTTCTTCTCTGGCTTTTTAGCCGGAATATCGGCTGCCGACTTGTCTTCCTTCACTTCGGATGGTTCTGCCTTCTTGCATCCATCTTTGTACGTGTGCTTACGATGCTTGCCACTACAGTGGACATGATGCATACGAAGGATTGATCGCTGTGAAGCTGTGGTTCGGCTTTCGAACTGAGCTGGCAAACAGCATGATGTCTAAGACATTATGGTTCGAAGTGCTCACTGGCAGCGAAAATCGCTTCAGGCCGAACAAAGGACAAGTCAAATAGTCACCAACTGGAGTGTGCTCTATGGACATGCGAAGGTTCCTGAGCTGCTCAACGCTGAAAAGGATTGGAACATCGCCTTGATCCAAGATATCTATCGCTGTTGTGATCCACCCTGTGGGTGTCTGGTCGTTCTGGAAGTATGCTCAACGCTGAAAAGGATTGGAACATCGCCTTGATCCAAGATATCTATCGCTGTTGTGATCCACCCTGTGGGTGTCTGGTCGTTCTGGAAGTATATTACCAGCTTCTCTCGGACGTTGGACTTTTCACCGTTGGCAAATGAAAATCGGCTTGACGAAGGCTCAAAAGAGAAAGCAATCTTGCATGATGGCGGTCCTTGAACCCATTGCTCTTCTACAGCGTGTACAGCCGCTGTCAATGATCACGTAGGTAGGGCTGTACCTCAAGTCGGTATACTCTGAAAGCAAAGCGTGGTGAAATCCATCGTCAAAGTTGACAAATGAAGAACAGAAGCGTGGGTCAATCACTTCAGAACAACCGGAATGTCGGTAGTCTGTACTGCTACCGGCAGGGTTTAGGTGATACTGATGTGAAACATGTTCTTCACCAGTCATTTCTTCTGCATTGTATCCGGAATATCGGAAATCTGCTGACTGGTTCATCTGGCTAGGCCTTGGCTCTGAGCTATGGTGCTCTTCATCTTGCGGTCTGTCCGTCTGTCCGTCCGCAAAGTATGTCCATTGGTGCCAAGTGGCTTCATTTGCCTGCCAGACTTCGTCGGGATAGTACTGGTCTGTGTGATATCCATATGAGTCCCATGACCAATTTGCTTCATGCGCACTCCAGGTTTCTTCGGCACTAGGATTCGGCTGAGCTGATGAAGGCTCTTCGGTGGTTGCAACATTACATTGCTGAAAGGGATTCTGTTGTTTGCTTTTTCCTTTGCCTTTGAATGCATCTTTTCCCTTGAAACCTTTCTTTCCACCTTTCTTTCCTGTCTTGCCTTTTCCATAGAAACCTGAGTTGTCAGGGTACTCTGCATAGTGCGCCCCTGCACCTTTGCCTCTACGGCCGACAGAGCCGGGTCTTCTTCCTTTTCCGCGGCCTTTACCCTTGCCGCCTTTGGATTGTTTTCCGAACCTTCTTCCATGGATTCTTCTACGGATGTATCCTCCTTTAGCTGCTAACACCCAAAATTTGGTTTCTGAGAACAAACTCACAAATCCTTCTACGCTTGTTTCCTGATCCATCACCCAGTATCCGGATTCTTCCTCCAAGTCTCCTTCATCGAGGACAAGGAAAGTGGATCTTCTCTGCCTGCGGATCGAAGGATCGGCAGTTCCTGTGGCGGTTCCGCAAAAGAGATCAAGGAAGCCTTTGACACCTAAGTATGTGTAGTTGTTCATGTTGATCTGACGCAAGGCCATGCTGGCTACGAACCTTTCTCTTTGCTGTTCGTTGAGGTCCGACTGAACTAAGAAAATAAGTGACATCAAGTTGTCAGACGGTGGAAAAGTGTCACGATGTGCTTGTTTCAAAGCATCAATGTGTTCAGAACGGAACCTTTCTGCAGTTTCTCTTCTTTCTGCGGGATCTTGAGTTAATTGAAGTAGCATGTACTGCTGTGGCGAGAGGATATCAGTAAAGTTGAAATCATCAGGGTGTGGAACAGTCGAAAGATCTAACAAGCCCATGAAGGCTTCCATGACTTTCTTACTTGCAACTTCAAAACGAGCGATCCAGCTGACAGGTGTCAAGATGACGCCAAAGATTCCCCCATCCTTCGATGGACAGTCATCCTGGTTCGAGTTTGAGGATCGATTGATTGATGACTGGGTGAATATCACCACACATTGAGCGCCGAAAATTTAGGCCCATCATTGAAGAACGCTCTAACAGGGAACGCCGAATACTATAAAAAGATGCTCGACAATGAACAGCTTCGTCATGAAAGAAACGGTATTACGTATTTCAAGGAGACGGGAGCAAACCATGTTTTTCTCTGGCGTTTCATGCAGCTCGATGGCTGTGCCTCATATGTCCGGAATGTCGAACCTGAGGACCTTGATTGCTGTTGGCGATGACGCGAGCCTTGTGCGGCGAAAGCTTCTTCTGGATCAGTTTCTTCCGACAAGCTGTCGTCATGCTCTTCGTCCGTATCTATGTTAAAGATCTGGACCATGGTCTTTATGTTTCACGAAGGCAAAATCGACCGTTGCGAAGCAGGAGACACAAGCTCCGCTACCACTTTGGGGCAAGTTCCCCCAGAAGTGGCAGTAGCTTTACTGGACCTGATCGAAACACCAAGTGAGGCCACGTGGATCGACGGTGTGCGAGGCAGCGACACCTTTTCTATGGCTGCGGATGCAGTATTGGGCTCCGACAGTCTTGAGCCAAATGAATTAGGTCGATAGCGGACTGAAGAGCTACATACAAGTCTATCTACAAAGAACAGGCGCTACACATGTATGGCGTAGACACGCCTAGGGGACCTAGGGCATTACAAACACAGAGGGGAGGGGAGGAGGGGAGTGGGAGGAGGGAGTGGGAGGGGAGGGGGAGGGGAGGGGAGGGGAGGGGAGGGGAAGTCAGTAAGAGTGGGAGTGGGAGGGGGGGTGAGTGAGTGTGAGTGTGTGAGTGAGTGAGTGAGTGAGTGAGTGAGTGGCAGATTTGCGGAGAGTGTTCCATGAAGGAAGGGAAATATTGCACTTCCTTGCCCACATGCTGTGTGCCCGTCGAAGCTTAGCCCCACCAACACCCAAAGAGACCATATATATATATATGTACATATAAATTTCTATCAGTGTCTGTCGCCCATTCATCCATCATTTGAATTTGCCAAGCGTAGGAGTTCTGAGGTTCAGGGACGCAGCCCAAAGCTCGGACTGACCACGTTGGACTGAGGCTTGGAGCAATCTGGCGAAGGTATTTCCGCAGTGTGGAACCCAGCAACAAATCCAACCCTCCAGCCTGACTTCATAGTTGGAGAGTCTTCTGCGGCAAAGTCGTGCGCCGCAATCCGCAACCCAAAAATCTAGATTCTAGATGACGGCGCGCGAGCGAGGAAAATAATTGGAATGCTCAAGTCACCGATCAGCTCCTATATGTCCACTGCCTTGATACTCAAAACGCAATCAGCCATGCTTTGCCACTGCCAAACCCGAAAGCAGTCCAAGTGATTCATATCTGGACATAGGTTCCTCAAGCAGGCTAAAGGCTAGAGCTTGAACGAGTATATATAAGGAATGTTCACAAAAGTTAGTGCTTTCAACACTTATAGTGTTTTGGGGTTCCAGGTTTGATAGCATGCATGTGTTGAGGGCCAGAATGTTGACCGGAAGGGCATTTGGCTCTTCAGGGTATCGTGTTGTCTTACCTCAAGGGTAGCCATGAAAAGACCTGCAGCAGCAAAGAAAGCGGCAAGCAAGAGACCTGCCAAGAGGCGCTCTGGGATCGGGAAGGAGTCACGAGATGTTGAGCATTGGGCCTGGGCACCTAAACATACATGCCATTAGCTATGCAGGCTCGAGCTGGTCAGCTGGTCACTGTTTTGGAAGCATTTGGAATCAATAAGAGCCTAAATCAAAATTAATGAACATTAATCATATCAACCTTTGAAACCAACACAAGAGGCATACAATGTGCCAATGGTATCTGTGATATGATCCAAACCAATCAGCATTGAGTATGGCAGAACAATCAACTGGGGACATTTGACAATGCCTCAAAAGGTGGCATTGGGAAAATTGCTTAGTCAGCCATGCCTTTGTGGCGCTAAGTGCTGTTTCACTCAATTTGGGGAACATGGTGAAGAAGTCCATGCTGAACGACAAAGGTTTCATCGTTTGGATGAAGCTAGAAGAGAGACTTGCAAGTTAGTCAGCTTGAAATTGTTTCTTTGTAATTTATTTTCCAGTATATATCTCTAGGAGAAAAGGCAGCTCCCATTCCCACTAGGAAGAGTTGCTCCGGAAGTGGTACAACGGTCCAGCTTCGCAGCTGACCGATGAATTTGACCGGAAGCTAGATGCTGTGATGTACCAGAGTGATGATGAAGCAATCATGTCCGGGGCGGAGATCCTTGAACAAAGTTCAGATTCTGGTGGTGAAGGTCAAGGCTCTGATTCTGAGGGGGTGTTGCTCGAATCTGATGCCGAACCAGAACCCAAAGAAAGCTCACCTAAGCGCCGGAAGTATGCGAACAGAAATCCCTGTGGTCAACAGACATTTTTGGGTCGGGCAGTGTGCGTGAGGGCACACCAAAGGTTGTATGGCATTGGGTCCACGGCTTTGCAAAACATCCGTCGCAATATGCCTGCTTACACCATGAACGATAAGAGGCTACCAGAACCCAAACATGATGTGTTGAAAGTCTCTACAGTCAGGAGTTCTGAGAATATGCAGTGGCCCCACATAGTGAAGTTCTTTTGGCTGTTGTACATCAGTGCGGCAGAAGTGCTACCCACCAAACTCGTTATGCCTGAAGCGTGGGGCATTGACAAAATGGAGAGGGACCCCGACTTCTGCGAGCGATTCACGACGGGCTTCTTGCAGAATCTTGAAAAACACTTTGATCTGAGTCACCCAGGTCAAATAGGACCTGGAACGTTTCAGGGTCCTCGGCGGTACTTAGAACATGCTCGGGCGATTGACCTCTACATGCAGTACACTGCTCATTCAGATGCTGAGAATGTGCGGCCGGCATCTCTATCGACATTCATGCGGGCCTACAAAAAATATTCTGTTCTCACCTGAGGTTTCGCGACAGGACCGAGTTTGGGCAATGTGGTGTATGTTATCGATACAAAAAGCGCATAAAGCAAGCCACCACAAGGGCTGAACGTGTGCAATGGACCACATCCTACAGCAATCACCTATTCAGTCAGTGGAGGGATAGGCAATTCTATTGGAGGATGCGTGAATTGTCTCGGCAATTCTTTTCACAAGCCATATCTTTCGGGGTATCCAAGCTGAACTGCATGGAGCTTTCATCCTCAGTGCTGACTGTCATCCAGGATGGAATGGATCAATCCAAACTGCGTGTACCGAAGTGGGGCTACGTTCGGTTGCCTAAATCACTGGAAGCCCTGTACCGGCCAGCATTGCACCTTGCAGCCACATGGATTCATGGCGGCCGTATATTTCTCAGCGTCTGCGACGAGAATGTCAAGAAGAATTCCGAGTCACAGTTGGAGCAACTAGCAAGAGCCCTATCAGAAGTGAAATCAATGACTTCACAACTGCCACTACATTTTCATTGCCAAGCTGACAATTGCTATCGGGAGGCCAAGAACAGGTTTGTCAGTGGCTTCATGCTGATGTTGGTTATTTGAAGGTTTTCAGGAGTACTTCTCAGGGGTTTCTCCGGAAATCTCATTCCCACGAAGACGTCGATCAACTCTTCGGCCAGATCGCTCGGCTACTTCAAGGGAAAGCAATTTCAACTGCCAATGGCATGGTAGACTTCTTGAACAACGTAACAAAGCGACAGGGAACCTCAACAACTTCAGATTCTCAGCTTTTGAAGTCCACATGTGTTGCCTACAAACTGGATGAAGTTTCCTGCTGGAAAACCTTTGCCAACCAACACGCAGTTGCTCTCAAAGGCTTGCGCCATGTTCATTATCTACGATACTGTGAAAGAAAAGACATCGGGGCTGACGTGTTGCAAAACGTTTCTGAAATTGAGGAGATGCGGGGACACCACGGCAAACACCCGGGGGATATATTCCTCATCACAAAAAGATGGTTGGCCGACACTGAAATAGCCCGAGCCATCTGTGTGGTTCCCGTTGATCAGGCAAATGAAATTCGGAAACGGTATCATCTCCCTGGCGGCCTCGCAGAGAGACGGGCTATTGGGACCCAAGTCAATGCCAACATTGTTCGGTATGCATCCAGAGGCCACCGCCACGGCACCCTCAATGCTGAGGCCGCTGGTTACTTGTTGAATTGGGTCAAGGGCACGCTGGCAAAACACCCAAAGCCTGCAACTTATCCAATCTTGAACTACCGATTTGATCCAGCCGTGCAGACTGAGGAATGTGAACTGGGCACATGGAATGTGCCGGATGTCACTCTTGGGAGTGAAGTGGACGAAGGGGATGACTCATCTGAAGATGATGAGGGGGATGTCCAATTACCAGCAGCTCTGATGGGCCTGTAAAATGATGAGTGCCTGCGTTGGCTTTGGCCGGGGGATCGGAGAACCGACACTATGGGGAGGGTCCCACTGTCAGTTGACAGACTTGTTTTTGAGGGGCATCATGTGCCATAGGCTTAGACCGTTTCTACTGAGTTTTGTGGAACTCAATGCATTCCAATTTAAATTGAAATACTTCAGACAGAATGACTGGTCCTGGTACTTTTGAAGTAGACTTCCCAAGTTGGATAAGCCAAGTTGCTGATACCCTTGTGCCTCTCTTGTGCCCGAAGGTGCAAAGAAGAAGAGAAGTTAAGCATGGAGAAAGAAGGCGGCATCCTTTTTGAATCCGATGAAGGCAGGGCGGCAACAAAACGCCAATCTGGGATGAAAACAGTTGCTAGACAATTTCATTTGCTAAAGCAAGATTGCGACAACGCATCGGATATCATTGCCTTGAAAAATAAATATATAAAGCACACACACGGGACACCTAGGACACCTAGGACTCATTTTGATCCACAGTTTTGTTGCAAATAGGTTTCCCATGCCAACCAATGTTCTGGCCAGAACCATCAAAGCAAAAGGCTGACACTACGGACGCGGAGGACGAAGAGCTTTTGCTGGCTTCGGATGATGACGGGGAGGGTACAGGTCAGCAGTCCCAAACAACCGAGAGGACTTTGCGCAAACTCCCATTCAACCATGTTCCCAATGTTTCTCGACTTTATATAATGGGATCATGTTCCAAGGGGTGCAACCAAAATACTACATAATAGCCCTAATAGCATCATAGTATATATTGTACACAATGATTGTCCACATGGTAGCCATGCTTGGTCATGTTTGGTGGGTTCATTGTCACAGTTTAAGATTAGCAATCATGGTTTCTGACCTTTGCGCTCTTTGCCATCTCAGGTTTCGGACTTCGTCAAGGTCTTCCTGCACGAGCATAGCTTCAGGCCCCTCAAGGAGAAGCTAGCTGCCACGTTTAGGAGCATCGGCACTCTCCGGGTGGGGAGCATGTGCAGTGGATGGGGTGTTCTGGAGATGGTGATGGAATGCCTCCAGCATGAGTGGAACCTGCTAGAGGATGACAAGTCTGCCTTGAAGGCTTCAAACTGGTAAAGAGTCCAAACAATTAAAAACAAGTTGGGACCAGTTGTTCTGTTCAAGGGGGCGGTGCACCAAGTACTTGCAACACAAATTAAAGAGATTTGGAGACAACAGGTGGAAGATCATCTATTTGTTTCAACTGGTTTCCCTTGAGGTGAGTCTGGAATTTATGGTCGAGATTGACAAGCGCAAGCAAGAGTATCTGAGAACTCGGTTCCCAAGTGCGCGGTGGGTGTTCGACGATATGAAGGAGATGGGGAAGAAGTCGGCCAAAACATGGGATGGGTCTGAACAAACTATTCCTGAGGCGGGACACTCCAAACCACAGAATACTTACCTTAAACCTAATGATTGTCCAAAAGAGAAGTTTCCTCGGGTGGATGGTTTGAATATTTTTGGATCTAGTGTTATTTTGATCGTCTTTGGTATGCTTCTTTTTGGTCCCACACTGTTGAGGGCTGCGACTTTCAGTGGTCGATTGCACCGGCCCAGGTGGATCTCTTTGTGGCAGGTTTTCCCTGCGTCAGCATTTCCACGCTTACAGTGACGCCGGGAAGTGTGATGGATCCAGCATGCCAAAGCGGGTGTGGGTTCAGGGCAGTTGAGCAGTATGCTCGAAAGCGCCGTCCTCCGCTCATCCTTCTTGAGAATGTTGCATCACTGTTCCACAAGAGGAAG